CTGTCCGGCACCTGGGAGGGAGGCCGGGGCCGCCGTCCGCGCCGGGCCGCAGAGCGGTGCAGCCCCCCTCGCCGGGCCCCTCCAAAACGAAACCGAAAGTACGGGATCAGAATATTCTGACGAGGGGGCAGCCAGCGGGTGTTCCTGCGCTCGCTTTGCTGTTCGAGGATTGGAAATGCTCCGGAGCTCTTCCCAGCCGGGGTCTCCGGGCGTCTGAGGGCTGAGCGCTGTCAGCTGGTTCTGAGGGGGTGGTCTGCGTGCGGGAGCTCTCGGCTGCTCCCAGAGAGGCTCCAGCGATTCCCAGTCGGTGAAGCAGCAGACTCGCTGGATTGGTCTCACTACAGTGCTCAAAGAAAAGTTACAACAGGCCGAGAAGCCAGGCGTATAGGAGAGCCTCAGTGCTAGGTGACACTGACTTAGGAGACTAGAGTGATCCATAGGCACAGGCTTGGACATCAGCACTTTGGCTTGTACTTTGCATCCTGACAGTCCCAGTGCAGAGGTGACTGAGGTGCCCTTTGGTGTGGTAGCTCTGCTGCTCAGCAGTACATTATAGTCATGCACAAAACTATTTAAATCCAAGGTAAATCTGAATCACGTTGTGATTTCTGTGGCCAAACCTTGTGAATTGACTTTGGGGGAGAGGGGAGGACAGTTCATATTCAGGGACTGCCCTTTATGACTTTTTAGAATAGTGCATGGGCTGCAGTCAGAAAGCAGTGAGACAATACCCAGTGAAGGGAGGGGCGGTAGCTGAATTGCCTGATCAGTCTCGTATCTCATGTAAGTTGACTGTGATAGAATCACATTCTTATGAATCACATTGTTTCAGTTCCTTCATAAAATAGTTGATGGCATATGTGGCCGTGCGTATCCTCGATACCAGGATTATGGCAGTATTTGGAGCTTGTCGGAGTGGATCGAGGTTTTAGAAGAAACAATGACATATTTCAAAACTGCAGTTGGCAAAAACATGTCTGATGAAGAGGTAAGGGCTCCTCACTGATTGGGCTTGACCTTGAAATCATGCTGGAGTGATTAGTCTTGTAGTTTATTTAGTCCTAAAGTATTTTTATAGTGTAGCATTTGAATAGTAGCAGACTAAGCCTAAATAGGTAGAAGGTGAGCAGCATTTAGAGAGAGGCTGGGAAGACTTATAAAAGAAAAAGTGAAATTGACAATGACTTTTTTTTTTTTTTAATAGCACTGGATACTACTTATTAATACTGGTTTAGTCACTTGAATTGATATCTTAAGTACCACCAAATTAAGCCCATTGTCCTTAAAATACGTGACCTGTCATTACTGTTCATTAGCAATAAAAACAATTCACACACCTGTTTGGCTTTCTTTGTTCATTACTACTGCATTGAAGTGATTTAAGATATTGACATGTTGACTGTATGTAACACACACACACACACGCCCCCCAAATTAAAAAAAATCTAGAGTGTGAATGGAGGACCATGTGGGACAGGGACTATAATTCAGGGCATTCCAATATGCATAAACTTTGCAAAAACGTTATCAGAAATCTTAATTTTCAGCTATTGCATGTTGCTGGTCTTTTCACTACCAGCTAGCAGCTGGATCAAAGAAAGATACTTGTGTAGCTGTAGGAGAGGCCGTAAGTCAGTGTGTCTGTTTCAGCTAAGCTAATGTATTTGGTCTCCCCTCTGATGTTCAGAGTCTTTCAGAGTAAAACCTGTTTGTCTTGTGTTTGTATGTGTGATTTTTGTTTTGATTTTAGAGTAGTGTCTAAGAAGGCTGACAAAGCCCCCATTCTCTTTTAATTTAAATGGCAAGAAAATGATTATTTTTTTTCTTCATACGTTGCTGTGATAAATACTGACTCTTAACTGTCCAGCATTAAGGGCAGCGTGAGAAATATGAGACTGTGTAGTTCAGCATAACAGCTGTCTGGGTAGAAGCTTGGATATGTACAGAGCACAGCATTACAGGTGGTACAATGTTATTTCTGTGGTTCATAGTTTGGGCAGTCACAATTGTTTTTATTTTTGTAGGCTGCTCAGCAGACACATGAGTTAAATTCCAGCTACCAAGAAGCAATCACAAAATGTCTAAAAGGCAGAAAGGAAGAAATCAGGAATAAGAGTAAATGCAATCTCTTCTGCCCAGCTGCAAGATTTTGACTGGCAGTTAAAGGTGAGAGTGTTGCCTTAATGTTCTTTGAAAGAAGTGTTCCACAGCACAGAAGTAACTGTTGATACAGTCCCCTTAGGCCTGCTCACTCTGGAGTGTGGTTCAATTCTTATAGGTATCAGAAAAGCACATTCATGATAACACATCAAAGACTTGCCAGAAATTTGTATAAACTGTAAAAGTAAAATTTTACTTTTTTTTTCCCTCCTTTCTTTTAAAGCTGCAATACCTATCTCTGTCCTAAAAGGAGACTGAGTGTTACTGAGCATCACCTGAAAATTTCATATGCTGTTATGATTTTGAGGCCTGAACAGACAGTGTTTTTACTCAAAGGAAGAAGAAATGTGTTTTAAGAGTGGTGCACTGATTCAGGATGTGTTTCCCTGACTTTTTTCAAATTTTTCGATTCCTGCAAGAAACAATTATTAAATAATTAGTTTGAAATCATGTATCTTTAGACTTTTTTTGATAATAAGCCAATGATAACTGTGTTGCCTGAAGCTGGCTGGTGCTTTGGGCTTATGAAGACAGCTGCTTTAAATGAAGCTTTATCAAAGGCTTAACAACATTACTTCTACTGTTGATATTTTTAGTTAGTCCATGGGAGCTGTTATACAGATTTGTAGAGCTGTTAAATAGTTTGCCATTTCAAAAAGAGTGTTAAGTAATTTGTGCAGCAAACAGCTTTGGAAATCAAAGAGCAATGCCCACAATAGACAAGATTTTGCAGGAGGAAATATGGTATCATAATCTGCTTGAGATGAACTGTTACTAGGGATTGATCTCGTGCTCACTGCATTTACTGCTGACAAAATATAAACTAGACTTACACAAACTCTTGGTTTTTTGTTTGTGGTATGTAGCAGCCCAGCAATTTTAACAAATTGTATTGACAAATGTATTGGTATAAAGAGAAGGTTTAGTATTTCAGTATACTGTTGGCATTAACGAACAAAGAAAAACCCCACCCACAGGAGAAAAAAAGAGGCAAACCCAAAAACTGCAGAGATGACTTGTGAGAAGTTATTTTTGTCATGTTGATGTTGGTTCTGTGAGTACATATTTAATAGAAAGTGCAGATGTGATACTGTGAAAGACTAAAAACTTAATGTCTCCACCTCACACTTTGTTGTTGTTTCATCAATCTGCATAGCTTGCTCTCTCCAGTGATAAGATCTCCATGCTGCAAATGCCACTTCTGAATCTTGATTTGGATGTGAGAGAAAATGGTGAAATTAAACCAATTTCTATAGAGATGAATAAGGAAGAGCTGCAGAACCTAATAAATGCACTGGAAGCCGCTAATAAGGTAGCTTTTGCTGATACCATCCCTTGTTCCGAACTTCTCATGTACTGAGTTTATTTTAACTGAAATTGTTTGTACTGGGTATCGTGCTGAAAACCCAAAGTAACTTATTCATTGGCAAAATGACTATAGAGTTGCAGAAAGCCTTACATAAGGCAGACTACCTTGGATAGACTTCAGGGTTTTTTTAGCACAGTTTAGTCTAGATTTTTAAAAAAAAATTAATTAGAATCCTGACAAGCGTAATAATCTGTTCAGACCACTACTAAAAAGTTTTGTGAGAATAGGAGGAGAAGCAAATTAAGTGACAAAGTGTCAGATGAGAGTGGATTTTGAATGATTGGGGAGAACTCCAGTGTTCCATCAGCTTCACAAAATGTGAATGGCTGGGACTGTATAGGGGAGAGTTGTTTGGTTCTAATTGAGTGCTTTAATTTCCATGGCAGAGTAAATCAGGAAGAAAGTTACAAAAATTCCAATACAGTAACCCAAGAAGAAAATTTCAAGTGAAACTATTTGGAGTGTCTCAGATTTCTTAATAGAAAAGACTAAGGGAAGTAAGCATTTGAAGAAAAATTGTTAGGGA